TGTTGTCAGTTTCTATCCAGATTACCTGAGTGAATGTCTGGAGGTGTAGGCACCTCGGAATGATTGTGTTAAGCTAGCACTAATTCCCTCGCCCATCCACCTTTATTCTTTTCTTTACAATAAGGCTTTCAAATAAGTCATGGTTGTACGGCAGTGAAGCATCGGTGTTGAGCACTGATGTCAGGCTGTCGTTGATGATGATGATGATGCTTGCTGACCGAATCTTTTGTTGTGCAATACATTGAACCTCGAATACCTGTCGTGTTTCCTCTCATAGTTTTACCAGCTGAAGTCATTTGAGCAGGTGAGAGCATGTGAAATATATGGGAAAGCTCGCTTTATTATGCCATCTTTATGTCCCCAAGGCTCTATGTGGATATCCATATTAGTGTGTGATTGTTTCCTTGTGTTTAGCACCTACTAACCGCTTAGATTCCAAGTCAGAATGCTGTGCTTTTTGCCTTGTAATTTTGACGCTAGCACATCCGACTCAACTGCTGTTAAGTCCAAGAAGATACCGGCGATTGTCCTTTAAATCTGAGCATGCAACCCGATAGTCGATCGACGCATCCGCATTCATTAATTCGAACGTCCAATCGGAGATTCGATGATACACTGGATCGGTGCGCAGATATCCGGCTCATTTTTACTTAAGAGGATCAGCGTCTGACGAGGAACGCTACTGTGGGATCTGACGGAGTGGACTTTCCCAACAAGAAAGATTCCCTCCAGGTGGCTAGATCTACACATTCCGCTAGGTTTTTTATGACGATGGAGTACGTGTAGACGGTTCATGATGTAGCTCTTTCTTTATTCCGAACGTAGGTTCGACTTTTTTGGCGGTCAATTCTACACACTTCCACGTAGACTTATGTCCAAGAAGCTTTAATAGTTTTTATTTATACTATAGCAGTTTGCGAGCGTATGGTCGAAATATAGAATAGCTGCTTTTCTCGGAAGGTTGTGACGGTATTGACAGTGTGATCTTAAAACCTGATCCCCTAATGGGAGCGGACATTAAAGGGGTAACTATTTTTAGGTTGTGTTCAACATTCCTATGCAAATTCCCCCCCCCCTGCAACTCAATGCTTGCACTGGAATACGACATAGCTTGTTCTTAGCTGAATGTGGAGATAATTGAAGACATCGATGGGTTAATCTTAAAAAAGTGGGAGGTAAAGGGGCGAAGCCTACGAAGTGGGAGCTACTAAGCTCATCAAGTAGGGACTTCCACGCACTGGGTCCGGAGCGTGTCTAGGTTTGGGCAACCTGGCAGTATCTCATCCGGCGTAATTCTTTCGAGTGGCATGGCAGCGAGGCACCGGAGGAGTGTTACAGCAGAACGATCTATGGTTCGGCAGACATAATTTCTAGTGAAAATGCAGTTTTGGTACAACTGGCACTCTGTTGGTATTAGGAGACAAATTCAGCCAGAGCACACAGGATAATTTGCATAACTGTCGCAAGACTACTGGACCTTGCCGTGGTGTGACGACGTGTGTGCCTCCATGGCCCGTTGGACTATACCCGAGGGTGTTCGTGTGACATTCAAAGCGTCTCATGCCGGGTTGGTCAGTGGTTACGGCCTCACTAAGAAAAAAAGTCATTCAGCTGTAGCACCCTTTCGGTGCCTAATTGTCATGCCACCCGAAGGTTGCACGAGGGCTGGGATACTGCCAGGTTGCCCAAGCCTAGACAGGGGAAGTCGAGAGGCGGAGGTCGGGTTCGAACCACGAACCTTCCGGTCAGTAAATTCGTGCTCTACCTACTTGGACCATCTCACCCCACCAAGACAAACTCCTGGCCCTGCTGGCTTGTAGTTAGAATATGTATGGTGGCTTGTTCTGCAAAAATGGTAGTGCAATTGCATTTCCCACCAAATACCGCCGCACCACGGTTAGTCATTTGATCCAAAGGCTTTGGTGCTCGGCGTTAAACGTCCTCTTGTCTAGGTCTGGACACCCTGGAAGTATCCCAGCCCACATACTACAATGACACTTACAACTAACAATAAACTCATGCCATATTGGCCGCTGCGTTGTCATCAGCCGGGCGACTTTATTTGTTCCACGCAGCAGGGCTGGTAAGCCAAAACAGACTACTACTGACGCCTCCCTTCTTACACGTTCACATAAGCTCTCCTCTACCCTACCCTACTCCCATATGAATAATCTCCGCAGACCCAAACACTAAGACTGACCAGTTGTTCGCCCTGCATCACACTCAGATGCAGCCTCTGAGCGTCCGGCTTCAGTAACAACCCTAAACATTTCGAAGCCTATTTTCAACACCCAAAATACGGTCTATTTGGCTGCCTTTAATGTTCGCACACTGAAGTGTGCAGAGCAACAAGTGGTTGTAGTTCTTACATTGGATTTCCTATGCATTAATGTATGATGTATGTCAGAAACAAGGATAGACGACGCAATTACCGTAATTGAACTGATTGCCCCCTGGCTGTCTGTCAGGTTCCGACTGCGCACCTCTTGTGATGTAGGGGCGATGCAGCTAGACATGCCTGGGTGTATATTGTATTGAGCGATCCAGTGGAAGCGTCTCTACTTGATTGGATATACGCTGACAGTCGCTTCTTCGCGGTCCGTTTGGCAACGCGTGTGAAATAGTCTCTCGAAAGTGTAGTTTACCGCACCATTTCATTGTGTCTGCTTACGCGCCAACAGCTCTGAATCCGCCAAGGGCAATTTCTGTGACGCTCTGGGCTCTCCTTTACTGCGAGCTGGAAGTTTAGACATTCTTGTGGTTACTGGTACCCACGAACGCTGAGCTCGAGATGGTCCAGTGGTTAAAGAACATTTACTGACCGGAAGGTCTGTGGTTCAAACTCCATCTGTGGGTCGTCCATATCCTCACATTTCAGGTCTTGTAGGAACGCCATATATACAGATGACCCGCAATCTGTGTTCCTTGAATTCAACGCTGCGTTCGATTCTGTCATTCTGTCAGTGTCCCTAACCATACTTGCTCGATAGATATACCCCTAAAGTTTGTGAACACTTCTGGACGTAAGTATATGGTGAACGCTTCTTCACAGAAATAGGTGCCCGACAAGGATGTTCACTCTCTTCGCTCTTGTTCACTTTCATCATTGATGAAATCATGAGGTGAATGTTGGATGGTGCTCAAATTTTTACTGGTAAGAACCTGGTTAGTCTAGAGTCCGTAGGCGATATCGTCCTCTTCAAAGAAGAGGACGACGAAGCATAAGCCGTCCTGAACTAACCAGTCACCGTCATATCATCTTTAGGCGTGCGGTGCGCATCTTCAAAGTAGTATCCTGCTTGAGAACTGACCAGTGCTTATTACAATTCAAGGCTCAAGTACCTAACCGTGAGGCGGATATGTTAAGTGGGAAATACAAGTTCACTACCATTTTTATAGAACGCGTTGCCAGGCATGTTCTAACCCACAAGCTGGAGGGCCGTTAGACTGTTTGTCAGACCTCTAAACATTGACCATTCTAGCATGAGAGACTGTGTGTGTCGCACGGACACCACCCGGTACAGCTCAACGGGTCGCGGCGGCGTACAAGCCGTCACATCACACGAGATCCAGACTTTGTAGGTGAGAAACGGGGTGGTAGGTTTTTACTTTAACACGTGCTTCATAAAAATCATTCAGCTGTAACACTTTCGGTGTCACACCGCCATTCCACCCGAAGTAAGAACGAGGACTGGAATACTGTCAGGTCGCCTAGATAGGGCAATTCGAGAGGCGGAGGTTGGGTTCGAACCATGGACCTTCTGTTCAGTAAATTCGCGCCCTAACCACTTGGACCATCTGGCGTCAGCGTGTTAGTAACGAGGTGATTAGAAAACGGTTATTCAGTCGAGGGAAACATCCAGCACCACCGACTATGATGGCTCGGTCATGTGCTACACATGCCTTAACACCGTCTACCTAGACGAGTGTTGTTCTCCATGCCTCCTTCAGAGTGGCTCAAACGGCGAAGTGGACAACGCATGACTTGGCAAAAGGGCGTGAAAGAGATCACGAGGAGTTTGGACGTTGTTGGTGTTGTACGGCTTCCAAGATGGGGTCCCCGTGACCCCACTTGTGCTTGCCTGGAGACGTTGCATAAAATGGCGGCCAATCGATGTCAGTGGCTCTCGTGCTGTTAGTTTCCTTCCAGATTGTTTGATTGTGCGCTTGGAGGTGTAGGCACCTCAGAACACTTGACATAGACTAGCACTAGGTCCCCTCCCTCACCCATCCTTTTTCTCGCCTTTTCACTCTAATTCTTCAACTATAGTTAGATGAACTTTATGGAACTTAATGAAGTATCAATATCAACACTGATGTTGCTGACCCTGGTGATGATGATTACAAACGAGCAATTTTCGTGCCACTTTCATAACCCCAAGGCGGTTTGATTCTCTGCACTATAGTGTAAGCAGAAAAGTAGGAGACTCTGGTAAACTCGATGATGGCATGGGGTTATCGTTGGTTATTTCATCCGTGTATTCTAGTCTCATCTATTTCAATCTACATCGCCACTGTGGGTTTTTCAATTGGTAGTTCTACAGGCTTGCGATACGCCATATTATCAACCTAGCCATGTCAACTCCATTCAGAAACAGCTGAAGCGTCGCGGTAGTGCGTCAGTAGTGCTTTTGACATTAGCTTTTTGGCGTGACGGTCGACTAGTAAGTCTGAGTCAACAGCATATGGCGTAACCGTCGTGGGAATTACTTTTAGGAAATTACGATACATTTCCACGTTGGTTTTCAAGTTTTTCCCTTGAGAAGTGATTGTAATGAAAAGTGTTTTCTCTTCAGGAAAGTCCTTTCGAATATCTTTATGTGAGAGAGTACCTATTATAAATGGTTAGCTCCGTTATCTCCTAGCTCCATTCCTACCTGCATACTAGTGATCTAGACTGATGGATGCTCTCATTCGAATGTGAATTTAGTCCCGACAGGAAACTGAATCCAGCTTAATCTCTCGTTTATGATACTCCACTTAACTGTGATTCGTCATCCAACTCGACATTTTTGGGTTTTAACAGCTGATTCTACTTGTTATCGGCCTGACGTTTTTGACTTACCAGTTTACTTTTGCTGTACGCTCATCTCTGGTGGTAGCCCTGCATACTTTTTTATTGCAGCCCTCAAGCGCGGTCAAGAAGGCCCTCTCTGAGTACCAGAAGGCGCACAAGCGTGCTGAGCGTGAGCGGTTACGGCTTATGAAGGAACATCAGCATGAACTGGAACGTAAGAAAAAACTGGAGGAGAAAGTAAGCCTGCCCTTTATTCAGTTGTTCTTCGATCATCCCAAAGGAGCGTAAGATGCTTGAGAAACAGGCGAAAAAAGATGAGGAGGAACGTTTGAAAGAGGAGCGGCGTTTAAAGCGTCTGGAAGAACTGAAGAAAAAGGAGGAGGAAAAGGAGGCTGAACGTAAACGCAAAGAGTAAGTTTACGACGTCATTCATGAACATCACCCTCATTTTATAAGAGAGGAAAAGCGTAAGAAAGAAGAGGAACGGATTCAGAAAGAACTAGAAAGGCGGCGTGAGGAGGACTTTAAGACCAAGCGCGAAGAAAAGCAGCGTGCCGTCTTATTGGGATTTCTAGTGAAGGGTGAGCAGAAAAAGGTATGCGCTAGTTTCGGCTGTTGTAACCCGTTCTTTATTTTAGGAAACATCCACACCATTATCTGCTCCATGCGGTCCGTTCATGCAGTTTGAGCTACGTAAGGATATGCGTATGGCGCCTTTACATCGTGTTCCAAAATCCCTATTAACCACTAAGCGAGACAATTTGGATAAAGTCGTTCAAAGTTGGTCTCATGAGTCATCCTCTGTCCCGGGATCCTCTCTTGGTCTGTTGAAATTCGGGCGTTCTAGTTACATTCACGAACTGAAGACAAAACAGCACGTTCCTCTTTCCTGTCCTTCCACTTGGCCCACGTGAGTTTCTATTCAGGTTACGATATTTATGTCATCCCTGTCATCCTTGGTGTCATATTCACTTATCGACGGGAGATGGAACAACGTAAACTGCGTACCTGAGCCACTTGTTGTCTGGTCAAACGGTGGTACTGAGAAGACGAACCATATCTGCCAGCCTGTGCTTAACACAGTCCTATGTGGTGGTTGAGGTTACTTTTTTATTTTTAACAAGAACACGATGACGAATGTTAATATTTTCGGGATCTCGTCATCAGGTCAGTGCATATGTGGTGATTACAACAGAAGTGAAATATTAAAATACGGAGCGAAGGTTCCTTAGTGAAATGAGAAACGTGGAGACACGAATGATTGGTTGTCTGCGCCCCCACGTCGCATCTAAATGGATGGTGTGAGACAATAGAGAGGATCGTTGAGTGACTAGGTGGGTTGATTCGTCTAACATGACCAAGGTAGACTCAGCGTCCAAACGAAACGTTTTTGACAGCACAGTACCGGGTTTCGCAGACGCATGACGACTACCTTGGCTGTAGTCAAGACACGTCGTTAGGTCGATGCGGGCAATCTTTTGGGTACACAGTAAATGGTGTGAAACGACTCGTCCGGATTGACTACGTGCCCGGTGTCGATTAAGTGGGACGTGATCAAGCTTTTGGTTTGACCGTTGAGTCTAATGGTGTACCGGTAAAAGAGATGGAATAAGTTGTTAGTGCGCGAGTTTACTGACTGGAAGGTCCGTGGTTCGAACCCGAACTCTGCCTCCCGACTTCCCCTGTTGCTTGGGCAACCTGGCAGTATCCAAACCCTCGTGCCTCCTTCGTGTGGCATGGCAGCTAGGCACCGAAAGGGTGCTACAGCTGAACGATTTTTATTTTTTATTCTCTTAGAAAGTTGCCATATCGTGCGCCCAATGTATTCTACTAAACAACAGCAGGAGGAAATGTACTGTCAGGAAGGTCAGGTTTCTAAATATTTTCCCAAGTGCCCGAAACTTACTGAGATTCCTAAAAATCCACTAAATGCCGACCAGAAAGCCTTGGAACGAGGTCAGATGGTGCCCTTCAAAATAAAGTGCGAGACAGCCTTGGTCAAGGTCAACCAGTGCCCCTTGAATATATAGGATGAGGCCGTTGTACTTTTCGCACCCACTCACTTGTTCGCAATAAAGCTATGGTGTTCCTTTTTTCCCACACTAGAGCGGATATAACAGTCAGACATAACAAATGCACAACCATATTCTGGGTGAGGACTGGCATCTTGTCTTAAGTTGAGCAAGGGTTCGGTTGCGAACCAAGACCGCAGAGTCCCAGCCAAAGATTGAAATCAGAGGCGATTGACTGTGTCCGCCAACAGCTCGCCTTTATACGATAGTCTCAGGTACATTGGCTTCTTTTCAATGGTCGTGATAGGCGGTTGGATAGGGCGATTGGACATTTTTTTGGTTATAGGACTCCACAACCATCGGCTCGTAACACGTTAGTCGTACACTGCAGTTCAGAGTCCCGTGTATCAGCACAGCAAATACACCTTGCTTGGTTCGGTAAAGGGCGAATCAGGGTTCGTTTCCGCCTTAGTGGTACGACACTAAGGAGTTTTGTGTATTGTCCTGTCCACATGGGCTTTCTGTAGACAGATCTATGGCTTGAACCCGCTGAAAGTCTGACTAACTAAGCGTCCAGGAAATGGAAGGTGCTTTCACTTTCATTTCCAGAAGTGAACTGAATGGAGGGATGTGCTCGGTTGAAGTTGGTCAGGAAAGCATCCATTTCAAAGCCGTTTGATACTAGCATAAAAATATCACCCATGTACCTTGGATAAAAGTGCGCACGTCTAATCCCATCCAATCGACCGAGCTGAAGTGTACCCATAAAAATGTCGCTCAACTAGGGTTCAAGATGAGAGTTTAGTTTTACCTCCATTGCTTGGATGTGGTCTTTTGCCTTTTGCTCTTTGCTAAATTTTGAAGTATCATTCATGATCTGCATCATCTTTCTGACGTAGTCGTCCCTGTTCATAAGTACTATTCCCTGCCCTTTGTCACTATGTTCTTGTTCAAACTATGGGGATTTTTATTTTTAGTTCTTTCCCTCTTCGTTTCGGAATTATAAACGAGACTCTAATCCCGTTGGATCCGTTTCTGCGCCAGGTGGAATTTTTTTCTGATCTGATGTACACATCAAACATGTAATGGATACAGCGATGGGTTTAACTTGTTGGTCCGAAGAACCGTGTTTTGTCAACCGTACCTAATATTTTCCGAAAGCAGAGTGCTGCAACAATGAGTGAATGAATCGTTCCAAACGGTTATTGTTGCAGAATTTCCGAGACTGCCAGTTTCACCTTTTGTAGTGCACCATCTGGAAGGATTCGCATTTAGACAAATTTTTTATTTTATGAAATCTATGAAACATTTGTCAGTTAAATTGTCTGCTTGTGCTGTAGGATGTTCGCAACCAAAAATTTTTAATCACAATCCAGGTGATCACATCGTAAAGTCTCAATGCAGTAACTAAATCCTATGATGATTGCTTTTGGCTGACCTCGTCAAATTGCTCCACCAAGAGAATTTTCAATGACAATTTTCACGGGTAATCTATCCTCACATCATTCGGCTTCCTTCCCAAATCAACGAATAAGCGAAGCTTGTACTGAGATCGATTTCAGTGCATAAACAAACGTTCTTTTAAAAACCCAGATTGACTGCTCTTCTCCTTTAAAAACCCAGATTGACTGCTATTCTTGGGCCCTTCAACGATCATTTGGGAAGAGTCTCACTGTGTTGGGGTGACGGTGATGGTATAATAATTATTTTCATGAAAAACAATCAAATTGGTGATATCAGTGGGAGTTCACTGTGGAATGGAAATCCAAGTGTCTTCCCCGGAGTTATGGCCAATCTAGACTGCACTTTTAATGGGGATTTCATTCTATCAGTGAAGTCAATCTATACTGAAAAACCGATGAGCACTATACAGCCGTTTTTTCGCTTATTGGGAACTCTTAGTGATGCACGTCTCTATAAACTCCAGAGAGTTTGGATTTCCTGATTTCCCGGTCAAGTGAAAGATGAGTGGTGCTATGTCTTGTCTAATTGCGAACTAATCACACCACTGAACAGCCGTTCGTGGCCGACCGACTAAGTGTTCAAACTACTAGCCGGAAATTCGGGGGTTCGAGACTCGAAATTTCCCCATATCTCTTCACACTACCAACAGAGCGCAGTTTACAAACAGAACTTGGTCAGTCAAGAATTCTTATCAGACACTCTGCATTTGATATCAGTCTGTCCGCATCTCCCGTTGCACATCAGTGTTTGTTGCAACCAACGTTGTATCTATCTACCATGTATCAGAACCTGATGGACAAGTATTCAATGAATTAGGCTGAGTTGTTCATCTTGGCGTGCAGCCTAAGGGTGAGGGGGGGACCGATTTTGTTCATTCGGAAGTTGATGTGGCACAAAGCACAGTCGACACTACTCCAAGTGGAGTAAGCGCATCTCAGGTGTGTGACTTGGTTCGTCTATCACATATACGTTAGTAGTCCTAGCCCACCGGCCAGCTGATAGATAATTCGTTTCAGTGACGTAATGAATTATTCTGTAAGGCCCATTTATCGCACTTAAACTCTACAGAATATCATAAACGATAGATTCAGCTGGGACTCAGTTAAGCCACCTAGTAAAACCAAGTTGGTGTGCAAATGAGTGTACCATTTATCGAAACTCTACAGAATATCATAAACGATAGATTCAGCTGGGACTCAGTTAAGCCACCTAGTAAAACCAAGTTGGTGTGCAAAGCAAATTATTTTGCGAATTTCGTGCAACTTGTGTTCAAGTAGAACAAAAAGGTTGACTGGAACTCGGGATCGCACTTACCTGATGAGGCCCAAGAGGGATGAAACTGGTCGTGGGATGTCAAAGAGTCTTCAGAAACCTTGTAAATAGCGTTCGTTTGGCACTGCTTTATTCAACGGCCTCTGCATTTTATGAGCGAAAGAAAACTGATTTCGGCACTGACCATAATTTGGAGTGGACCGCATGAGAAAACCTTCTTGCCCGGATCCGGGGACTCCTGCAGTGAGATGTGGATGCTTTTTTAAGTCGCTGCGATTTTCCCCCCTATGTATCCGCTGCTTACCGCCAACCTAGCAATTTCGGATTTTAGAGGATGTGCGATCTACCTTAAAGTTCTTTCTAATTGTCTGTCATCTGGAATACAGCCATCGGAGTAAGCTTTTCAATTTCTCTCACTCTCAGCACACGTAATCCGTGGTTCAACTTTCTCGTACAAAATGGTTTCTCCTCTATCTCACTCAGCCATTTTCCAGGGATCACTGTTAACTCAGTACAAGTATGAGGACCCTCTGATGTTTATGTTGGTTTTAGCGGGACTTACCGTATTCCGTCATGTCCATTCAATTTTAATTACGTTCGTCTCATTTCGTAGGGAGCCACCCGAGGTGATGCTTATGGGTGAGGGACCATGTTCCACCCTAAACTCGCCTACGTTAAAGTATCATGGAAGCCGAGGTTCTGGTGGTACGGTGTGGCTGCGCGCCAAGCTGTTCCAATTTGTGGAGAACTATCGACCTGCGTACTACGGGTCGTGGCGTCGGCGGAGTCGTATTGTCACTGGCCGACGACCTTTTGCTCAGGATGTGCGACAACTGGATTATTCTGTTGATTCTGACGATGAGTGGGAAGAGGATGAACCTGGGGAGAGTATCACGCAGTCGGAGGTGAGTTGTGTCCCAACCGTTCTGCGGATGGGGAATTATGCGTTATGGTCACCTTAGCTGCTATCTACTGATCGCGGTTTTTGTTGTTCCGATCGCAATGGTCTTTGGGCATTAGGTTTTGATTGCCTGATCGGGACAGAGGGCTATGCAAAATAACTGGACGGTCTTTTTGGTTACGCTACTGTCGGTGTATTCACCAGTTTATTTGTCAGGAAACATGCCATCCTGTTAGGACAGTGAGTCAAATATCCGTTTTCCGGTGTTCCTACAATGACAGCCTAAAGGCGACTTTCCTTATAACTTATTTACCGTTAGATGGGGTGTGTAGCTTGGAATCAGAGATTCGGACTGCTGAACAAAGTGGCATTGTGTTTCTTACTAGTCATCGTCTTCCTTGTTTTTATAGAACGTGTCGGTGCACTTTGTAAATCTCGGGGATAGTGTGATGGCTCTACCAGTGGTTACAATCGTTCTGTCACGGGACTTAATGTCAATTCACCAGGTCGAACTACGATCATCGAAGGCGATACAACTGGTTTACTGGTTTAGTTGAGATAAGCGGCACACTAGATGTTTCGTGAGTCTGTGTAAGGGCAGTCTGCTTGTTTCGCAGGTTTGATTTCCAAGGTCACCGTGTATCTTAGACGTAAAAAAAACTGAGAGGTCGTTTCAAGAAAAGCGGAAGTAATATTTACGTTCGGAATGCTAAACACTTCGTTCTAAAGTTATCTTCGTGCTTGTTGGACGTTATCAGCCTCTAG